TAGTCTACGGTCAAAAAGGTCGTTACCTTCCAACCAAGTGTAGTTCAGTTTATTATTTAACCACTTTTTATGGGTAGTAGAGCTAAATTTAACTGACCCCTGTTGAGGCCTGGTTAACCTTAGATGTGTGGTTGCAGGCTTGTTTCATATTTAACTTTCGAGGAACATAAAACTAGGGCGAGTGTTACATAGCACGCGTGTGGTAGGGGTGCCTATTCGTTTCATCAGTCGTTGACATTTGAAGTGAAAGCACTTTTTTAAAAACCGCTCTTGAGAGCCTTCATCATTTCAGCCATAGGACGTCCACTGCTGAACATAAGCCTCCCCTAATGCTTTCCACGTTGATTGATTAGTAGCGGCCTGCGTCCAGCGCTTCCCTGCTACCTTTACGATGTCCACGTCCCAAGCTGCGTTTTCCGGTACGCGGCCTCCATTCCAGAACCTTGCTGCCCCATCGGCCTTGAGATCCTACTTACAGAAAATAAATGAATTTTATGAGGTTTTTGAGTAACTTTTGTTGATTCGCTGTTTGAAAACATGACTGTCTCAACACACTGATGTAATTAATGTAGTTTGGTAATAATGATAAATATTTTTCGTGCTTAGGCTTGTACAAGAAAAACTTAACGACTGCTTAAAAAGGAATTCTAAATCGTATACTAGAAGTTATGAAATATTGTAGACATTCATGGAGATGGTTTTCTACCTAGAAGTAGGTCGAAATAGTAAATAGTAATATATTGTCTACTTTTTGAGAAAACAGTCTTCATATTAGGATCGATCCTAAAGAAATTTTGGCTAACTGTGTTTGCCCTGGCGTTTTTCTTTTCCAAATTTTTATAACCATCTTATTACTCTTTCCATTTTTAAATTACAATTAAAGTACTTTATCAAAACTGACAACCCTGTCTCCCGCCACCTGCTCGCGCTCCAAGAAACTTTATAGTTTCATTACATTGGCTTCCCATTCCATCAAGCCTTAAACGTCGACTCTACTCCCTAGACTTAAGACTCAAATTACAACAACAAGCAACAGCTGTAAAAGTGGTCAAAGTAACAATTTGTTACAGTGTAGGGGAGCGTTCCGGGAAGCGGATTTATTAGGATTAAAATGTATACAGTGAATAAGGAAGATTGAAAGGTCTACAACATAGTAACGCAGAATATAGCCTAGAATTGTGTTGTAAGAAACTCAAGTCTTGGCTGGTTTTAGTGTCACGCAGACCGTCAGTGCGGATCGCTCCACACAGCCGATCTGTATACAGGGTGTTAAGTAAATAGGTATATGAGCCGACACTAGCCCATGTTAACATGGTCATATAAATGGTATGGTGAAGTCAGAAAATTGATAACTAGTAACTACATTTTAATTATTTTAATTTTCATACAAGTCGGATTTTATAAAAAATATTTTGTATGAAAATTTAAAAAAAATAAATGCTGATATCAAATTTCTGACTTCACCATACCATTTATATGCCCATGTTAACATGGGCTAGTGTCGGCTCATATACCCATTTACCTAACACCCTGTATAAACTTCTAGGGAGCGTTTTAGAGTAATGCGGTCCGCAGGAACCGTTCGCTCCCTAGCAGTTCATACAGATTCCGCGTGACACTAAAACCAGCCTTACGCTCGTATTCACAAACTTTACTATGAGGCATGAGGTCTCACAGTGCGCGTGGACGCACAGAGTGACACACGAACCAATAACAGAGCTCTATTCAACGCTGTTCGTTCAATTTGCTTCATGCTTGCATTATCGTTTGTGAATACGGGCGTTATTTGATAGAACTTGAGCTATTTTTAAAGTCTCCAGTCTTATAAATAAAACTTAGAGCTCAAGTCCTTTAGAATTTTGAATCTTTTGTAAAAGACTCGAGTCCTAGCAAAAAGAACTCTGAGTCTTTTTAAAAGAACTCATGACTGTGTCCTATAAATCCATAAATCAGTAAATACATATGGAGGACAATATAATATCACTCAGTACCAACTCAAGACTCTGTCTAGCTCAAATAACTTAAAAGACTCGAAAGGACTCGGACTCATGTGACTAACGAGTCCTAGTCTTGAAAATAGACTCAAGTCTTTGTCAATTCTCTCAGTCAAGAATGAAGACTAAAAGACTCGAGTTTCTTTAGTTTCGAGACTTAAACCTCTATTTTAATCGAGTCACGGTGTGGGACAGCTTAATAAACCATTTCTTTTGCGAAGGGTAATAAAACTCTACAAAGCCTTCGTAAGACCACGTCACAAACTTGGTCCTATTACGCACAGGGCCGGACTTCGGGCTAGCTTAAGTCTTCGATCATAATTATTAGTATTCTATATTATAATTTGGGTCGATGGAGCAGCAAGGTTCTGGAGTGGATGTGGATGGAGCCACGTACCGGAAAGCGCAGCGTAGTAGACGTCCAACCACAAGGTGAACCGACGATCTTATAAATCTAGCGGGAAGGTGCTGGATACAGTCCGCTATCTACCGGCCATTGTGGAAATCATTGGGGGAGACCTATGTTCAGCAGTGGACGTCCTATGGCTGAAATGATGATTAAGATGATGATGATTATAATTGTATGTACCTACTAGATGTTGAAGTGAAGTGAGGAAATAGGTGGATCCCTAAATTCAAACTTTACTTTATCATCCGTTCGGAAAGAAGTCGATTCTTAGTTTCAAACTTCTATTTTTTCTGTTCAATTTCGTTGCGGGTGAGAGTTGAACATTCTCCTGGGGCAAATTTGGCCTTCACAAGTTGGGTTTTATTTATGATCAAGCTGTAAATCCTCGTTACACAGGATTTTTTGCAATGGGAAAGTGGGAATAGTCCCGTTAGCTTTGTTTAAATATTATTATTTTTTAATAGTTTTTTGTCCTTCGCCTTGTGTAAAAATTGTAATGAAATTAAAGTTTTTGATAAAACACAAGTGATTGAGTTTCTTCCACCATTCCTTTTTATCACCAGCCCATATATTTTTCTGAAGACAAGGTGGTAGAGCAAGCTATATGTATTTGAGACGTGTATTATAAGTGCCCTGAAAAGGAGCTACACACTAACAAAGAAAAGTTTTTAGTAATTAATGATAAATGTCTGCCAAAAATTACGTAGGTACAAAACTCGTGGTTTATCAAGGACACAAGTTCAGCCCTGTCTACTAATCATAAAAGGGCTTCAGCTAATTTAAGGGGTCGGCGGGATCGAGTGATAACTGTTCAAAGTCCGAAGTTCGAGTTTGGGACGAGCTGCGAGCAATATTCGGAGTTTTAGCACTCTCCGCGAACAAAATGGAAATTAAATTAAGAGTTCTTGCCAAAGAGTTATCCCGCGGAGCTTTTTAGAAGAAAATCTTGTAATTTCTTTCGTAATAAGTGTTTATTACTCGTAGCTTGGTCTGAAATGGCATAAATAAAATATTTGTAAGAGCTCCTACTAATAGTTATACCGTTCTTTTAATAAATAAATAAATAATATAAAACAGTCGCTTTCCGCTGTCTGTCCCTATGTTATGTATGCTTAGATCTTTAAAACTACACAACGGATTTTGATGCGGTTTTTTAACCGACTTCATAAAAGGAGGAGGTTATATGTTCGACTGTATGTATCTTATTTTTTTCTATGTATGTTCATAATAGATAGAGTGATTCAAGCGGAAACCGGGGTGGGTCGCTAGTTAATTAATAAAGAGAGAAAAATAATAAATTTTTTGAACTAGGTATGGGTGTATAGTTGAATTAGCTAGGTTAAAGATCAGAAACTTACCCTAGAGGTGCATATAAGTACGATGTAATATGAGAACCAAAAGAACCCACTCACATATCCTTGGAAAATATAACTTTCGTTATGAGAGAAAATCCAGGAAAATACAATAACAAGAACAACATAACGCCTCTGAGAAAGACTTAAACAATTTTCCACAGAAACCTTTCTAGAATTATTAGATTCGCGTTGCCTTAAACAAACCAAGAATGAAAACAGAAGTACCGAGACCTGCTTTCCGTTTTCCAAGTGCCATTTCAAAAACAAAGAGATTCTGCAGAAAATTCGCTGGAAAATGCTGTAAAAGAACCTTTTGTTCCTCCATTTTACCATTTGCTAGCAAGCAAGACGGCAAAGCGTGTGGCTCAAACTGCTTAGAAGACAGCGGAATTACGTAGCTAGTTATTCTTTTGTAGCTCTTTCGATGCTAAAAATGTAGCAAGGAGTTATCCTTGTACTGTACTCTGTAAAAAGTAGTCACTCACTATAGTATCATTTGAGAGTGATGACATATGGAACAGAAAGTACACACAGTCATTGTGATATGGAGAGCGCTATGCTTCTATAATAAGAAAATTCGCGTGTCACAATGTTTATAACAAAACTCCTCCGGTCTCCGGTCTAAGGATATTTCATAGCCATATTTCAGAAACAAAAAGTTCTTATTTGTTTGGTACCAAATCGGCATTTTTCAGCTGTTATTCCCAGAAGTGCTCGTAGATTAAAGTTCTTGTTGTTATGTGTTTTTTGTAACTAGGAAGGTCACCGCTGGCTTTGTAAGCTTATCTTTAGAACAAAGCTTCTATCAGTGGGTGCAGAGAGCTCTCAACCTCAGTTTCAGTCAAATTTGATGTAGTCTTGTATATTTTTTAAAAACATACGAGTAAAAAAATCAAATTATAAAATGACTTGTGAGCTTTCGCAACTCTTTTTCAGTAAAAAAAAAATCTACCTTATCTGTGTTAAATACTCTGAAAAAATACTTAGAATACAATCTCAGTACAATCTTAATTCTTCTACTGGCCACTCATGATAAAATTTTAAGCGAGTTAAAATTAAAATGTGCTCGATTGTCATATGTTTTTTCGACAATCGAATCATGCACATTTTATTCCTAAATAAACACACCTAGAACTAATTTATTGCAAAGTATGTACGTATGTAGTACTTTTTAAGTAAATTTTTATAAGATTTAAGGTTACAAGTGTGATTTTTTATAAAATGTATTTTTCTTTGTTTCAGAGTTGAAGATGAACCCACATCGCCAGTGACAAAAACAAAGTGAGTATTCAGTTAATTACTTTGCACAATATTTTTATGTCTGTGGATAATAACGCTACACTGAACGAGTTAACAGCAGCTTTTAAAGGTTATAAAAATGAACAAAAAGGATTGGTAAGCTCAGTTCAGTTACAATAAAATAGATTTCGTCGAGGTATGAAAGCAGGTACTAAACATGAATTCTTTTCATTTTTCGAGAATAATATTTATTTCACATGCAGGTGGAAATGACATCATAAATATCGCGTAGTTTACTTTCATTTAACTTTCGTTATGTAGAAACAAGTAGGTAGGTATACGTTGTTTAGATAATAAATGAGGCCAACTAAGCTTTCTCTACCCCTATCGAATTGTTTAATATTTAACTAGCTATTGCCTGCAGTATCGCGCCCGCGTGGATTTTCAAAAACTTTTTATTTATTAAGCATGTAAGTTATTGTCCTTCGAAGTACTGTAGCTTTCTGCTGGTTAAACAATTTTAAAAATTGGTTTTTAAAGTCCAAAATATTTTTTTTTTATTTGTATAGACTTTTAAAATACAAATCGTCAAATCGTTTTGCTCTTACGGAGCCTGTCTCATTTTTTTGGCCCTGCCAGCGCTTTGAGACTAACATTTGGCAACAAAAAAACTTACAAACTGAACTCTGATAAAGTGGTAAGTGTGGCCATAGCATAACCTTAATGCTCATAATATTTACACAGCCGTGCTTATCGTTATTACAAAACGCTTAATTGTCTGGTTTTTGTCGCGAAATCCGGTCGCGATGATTAACTAACGTAATTTGCAGTTAATTGGTCTTACTATTGTCATTCTCACTCCGTTTGTAATAGTCGAGGTGAACGTGTGTGTCTTGTGGAGCTTATTGGAACGGGATAGAGTCGAGAATAGAGTGATGCGGCGCCGGGGGGAAAGAATATGCTGCCGGTTAGTGTGTTTTTGGTTCTGTGTGGTAGAGAATGTGCTAAACACTATGGTTTTTATGTTTTCTTGGTGATGTTATGACATGTATGTGGTGTAGTGTAGTGTATTGTTGGTGCCTAATATGTCTGGTATGGAAAAAGGTTTAATTTATAAACAATAATGGTGAAGTGAGTCATGATCAGTCTGCTACGAGTATGACTATCAAATCTTGTGGAAGTGTCATCTTGGATAACATAAGTGTATACCTACTTATGCGCGTATAAAGTGTATGCTTTGAGAAGTATTCCGTATTATTAAGAAAAAAATATTGGGAGTGGAAGTTATTTTGAAAGAACCTGCATTTTACGTAAGTTTCGGGACTTGGATATGGAACGTTTTGATCTAGGCTCTACATACCCAATCTCATAAGCCATAACAGAAAATTAGAGTAATCGAGTAATTGCTGTAATTTACTATCTCTGAATAATAGTAATTAGGATGTTCCTTTGAAAAGAGATCGTTAGGATACTTATGCCCATCCCTAATTTTTAAGTGACCCCTTTGAAAACAAAATTCCTGTTATGTGTTACCATAGGGGTCACTTAAAAATTAGGGATTAATGGTGGAAACGGGCATTATACTAGCAGAATTCGACTTCTTCGACCATAGAGCGACATGTAAACAGCTACTTTCGCTTTTGTAATATTAGTTATATATTATTATTGATCGATGATATGATTCCCCAAACAAAGACATGATTAATCTATTACACGTCTATTTATTTACAAGCAAACGTTATGTATTGTACGTTAGCTCAATACATGACATTGTGTGATTCATAGACTCTGACGCATTGTCTGTACAGCCTTTGTCTGATTTTATTATCCACAAAAAACACCTGTGTTATGTACAATCAAGTTAATAATGTTGTTTTGACTGATATTTCAGGTTCTAGAGTATTCGTAAGAATATTATTAACGCACTGAATTGTTAATAAATGGAGGTAGGATTAGTTTTTTTTGGTAATAATCTTTTTGTTTCGTATTTGTATTCAGGGTTCCATAATTTCGTTCGTCGTTTGTTTAAGTCTGATACTAATGGTTATTTGTATTAGTTTTAGGTTATTTGCAGCAATGGCTACTAGAGTTTACAGGATAAACAAGTAGACGGCTAATTTATAAAATAAACTGGGTATTGAGTAATCGTTCCATAGAATATGAAATGTGGATGGTTTAAAGGTGATAAATTGCCTACGTTTGCAATTAGGCCTTTAAAAAGTTAATCTCAGTATAATTTTAACTCTATCAATGTTTCTTTGTACCTACATTGTGACGGAAAACATACGAACTCTACACTGCGATTGGCTCGATTCACAATTTAATCTGATTTTTTACTATGAGATCTCTATCTTCAATAGGTACATCTTTATGTACTTTATTCACATCGCTGTGATGCGCCTTGATACATAAAGGTACCAATTTGTCACGGTCTGAGTCATCTAATGAGATACACTTTTAACTATAAAATTGCTAATTGTTTTTTGACGAGACTGTTTTGAACTTTATTTGAATGAATGACAAAACCAAATCGTTGCTCTCAATTTTGAGCTAACATTATGAATCATAGTCTTCGATTGAAGACTAGTATACAGTCAACGATAAATTTTAATAGTTTGTGTGGTGGTCAATCCACTACTTCTTCTTCTTGTCGTGTCGACAACAAAAACCTACACAGTTTCAGCTCAAAATTCCGCCACAAGAGTGACGTTTTCAGTAGCCTTCATTAAATCTTCGTGCGTGTAGTTGTTTGGGCACGCAGGGCACGACATCATGTCATGTGCTTCGTCGACTGGGGAACACAACCACACTTGCAAGTTTGAGTTTGAGCCATCCAAGAATCTCCACTTGAACAGATTGTCCTTACTACGACTAGGTACTTAATTCACTTTTAACAAAAGCATAGGTATTATAGACATATAGGTATTGTATTATATTTCTAGATAAGCAAGCAAGTAGCTTACCTACCAAAATACGGATAATAGGGATTTTAAAACGGCATCTCATTTATTTAGTAATCTTAGGGAAGGTGGTCGTACCATATTTTACCATCTTAATACTCATGTCTAATTAATTCTATATTCACTATTCCACATCATAGTCTAGTATTTCCGAGTATTATTCATGGTTTACAAAGGTCACCGCCAAGTCCTTGGCATTAATGGGACGGGTGCATTACGACCGATCGGCAGTCACGCTACCACAGTGGATCTTGGCACGCGACACATAGAAATAGGAATCATTTGCTAAATTAATAAGATGTTAAACCACATTCAAAATTTATTGTTTTCCACAACCAAAACTTAAAAGTTACAATTAAAACTTAAGTAAATACAGGAAACAAAGGGTCATGATGACCCATAAGTTTAAGCTCAAGCTGCCTCGAGAACAATTCCCGGGTTGCGCTGTTTTTCAACCTTACCCAGCTCTTTTAATATTAGTCGCATTATGTGTAAATAAAATAAAGCATATAGGTATGCCTAACCGCAGGTATTAAAAAAGGTTGCAAATAATCTTTCGAGAAGGATCAAAATAAAGAACGACGAGTTGCAAGGCCAAAAGTGATTCATTTAACGATTCAGCCAATAAAAGGGGAGTGCCACAAATAACGTATTACGGATTAATTATGCCTAAGGCTCAAACCACAAAATTATGATCAAATGACGCAACTCTATTACTTATTATGTGTAATCAACACAGACTGCTTTGGCGCCTTCGTACGAGGATAGGGCCGTCCCCAAATGTAACCTCCAAAAGGCACAGAAGGAGAAGGAAATCTGCTTCTTAATTATTTTTGTGGCTAACTACAACTAGTTAGCTATTATGGGTCACTTCATTCCAAATACTAAACACAAAGATCACCATTACTAAGCTATCGTCATTTGTCAACAGTGAGAAAACCGGGTTCATCACGCCCCAACAGAATGGCGGCGAAGAATCCCCCCCTCCTGAAAAGGAGCGGGCGGATCAAGAGGACACAGAGAAGAGCCACGCGGGGCCCGTGCCCCACTGCGCGGGGCCCAATGACGACCTCTACGCGATCCCCGTCAAGCTGCGCCCCAAGAAGGAGCCCCAGCTGCCCCCGGGGTGGGAGAAACATGAGGGTAAGCCGTTTAGACTTTTATTAGAAGTTAGATATTTCAAGCGCATCGGGACACTTGCGCGAAAAGCCATTTGCGCCCATGGACACTTGCGCGAAAAGACACTAGTGCGAACCGACGTTTGCGCGAAAATACATGAGCGCGAAAAACACTAGCGCGAAGGACATTTGCGCGAAAACAGTTTTCGTTTAACGTTTAGTAAGTGGTTACGCCGCTCACCGCTAGATGACGCTAGCTCTTTGAGTGACGATTTTCTGCACCGCGGTGTCCAGATATTTTTCAAATGTCCTACGCGCTAGTGTCTTTCGCGCTCATGTCTTTTCGCGCAAACGTCCGTTCGCGCTCACGTCTTTTCGCGCAAGTTTCCATGCGCGCAAATGGCTTTTCGCGCTAGTGTCTTTCGCGCAAGTATACCGGAACCCATGGCAAGAACAAATCTGTAGGTATCACTTTGGCAACACTAGGCTCTAAAATGCATCGATACTGTATCATGATGACGCGAGTCTACTGCGAGCTCGCTTTGAGACTCTCATCGATGGAATGCTGCTGAATGCAATGATTCAGAAGATCGTAATGGGTATTTTAGGTACACTACGTGTTTTCACCTCTGATTGATGGGTAGGTATAGACGTCAACAAGCCTGTTCAATAAACTAATGTACACACGACAGCACATCAGGCTACCCATTTTTGTTGCAAACTCGCCCATATTACAACTGCACAAGAACCCGCAGTGGTTACGTTGACGTGCCGTCATCTGTACCTACCTGAGACCACGATCAGTTGGAAGAACTGAAATGGTATTTTAATAATATTCTGTTATGTACTACCTATCTTTGATGCGATATTAACGCGGATTATCTAAGCTAGAGCCTGATCTTCATAGTTTTTCAAAGTAATAAATTTTGTGGTGAGCTAAGGTGGTAAGAAAAACTTTTTCAAAATATTAAAATGACATTGTTGACATACAAAATGTATTGACAAATCCTATTTCTTCCAGACAACGACGGCCCCTACTACTGGCACATAAAGAGCGGGACTATCCAGCGAGAGATCCCCAAAATGCCGCCGGTCGAAGCCCGGGAGTCGCGGATCTCCATGGTGCGCGACTGCTCCAACTTGTCCGAGGTGAACAAGTATGAAGGAGTCATGACTGGTTCCGTCACCAGGAGTACCACTAGTGGGGCGCTGGACCATGACGCTCAGGAGGCTGAGAGGAAGAGGAAAGAGGAGATGTCTTACAAGTGAGTAAACGGGTTATGATGACGTATCTGTTCTGTTCTGTGTGACGTTAGGTGATGTACCAGAATATGTACTTACTTACCTACCTAGTTGTTTATAAAATAAATGGCATCCCCATTATTTCAACCATATTGAAACGATGACACTTAATAAACAGTGNGGTAATCTTAAAGTTTTGCCTCGCATTAAATTCAATGAAATAACTGTTAAAAAACGGGAATCTGTTTGCTATCTCGGACTAATTTTAGAGAAAAACTTTAGTTTTGTCGAGCACATTAAACAGATCGGTGAAAAAGCTAAAAAGAACTTTTATGCCTTAAGTCACATTTCAACCTCGACGTGGGGTCTAACGTTTAAAATCCTCCGAGTAATATATTCGGCCACTTATTTAAGCTCCATTTGCTATGGTGCACCAGTTTGGGCTGACAGAGCTACTATAGGAGCCGCTCGACGGAAACTACTCCAAAGTCAACGCCTTGCATTGATTTTTCTTTGCAAAGCTTACAGAACTGTGAGCACGGAGGCTCTGCCAGTCCTGGCTGGTGTACTGCCGGTCGACTTAGAGGTACAAAAGCGTGCGGCTATGTACTTCGCATCAAGGGAAAATATAACCTCCGATTTCTTAAATAGCCGCGATCGTTCTAAAATAAGTCGATTATTTGATTCCCGAGAAGTCGTTGAAGAAGATTTACTTAATGAATGGCAAAAAAGATGGGATACGTCAGTCAAAGGACGTCACTTATATAAATTCTTCCCGAATGTACGCGAACGTCTAACTAGGCGATGGTTAGAAATCGACCATTGCTCGTCGCAGTTCCTCACGGGACATGGCAACTTTAAACATAAACTTCACGAATTCAAACTAGTTCCGTCTCCTTTTTGCGAGTGTTCCACTGATGATGTCAGTTATGAGCAGTCTGCCCATCATATCTTGTGGGAGTGTGATCTTTGGAAACATGAACGTGATATAATGCTTAATTCAATACAACATACATCTGTTTCCGCAATTTATTACACCGATCTTGTCGCGACAAGGAAAAATTTCCGTGCTTTTAAGCGATTTTGTGAAAAATATTATTGGCAGGTGGGAATAGTCCCGTTTCCTAAAACATCTAGCTTGAAACCCGCTAGAAATGTGACAAAAATATACGCAAAACATGGCACTTATGCCCGTTTTCACCATCAATCCCAAATTTTTAAGTGACCCCTATGGGTAACACATAACAGTTAACACGTAACATTCAACTCTCTCCAGACGCCGCAGTTTCCCGGCCCGTCCGGAGCCGGATAACGGGCGCGCCGTCCGGTTCTTCGTCCGGTCGCTGGGCTGGGTGGAGATATCCGAGTCTGATCTCACGCCGGAGCGGTCCAGCCGCGCCGTCAACAAGTGCATCGTGGACCTCAGTCTGGGTCGCAACGACCTGCTTGATCAAGTCGGCCGTTGGGGAGATGTAAGTCCTACGTTTTAATCTTTAAATGACAGCATTATTAAGCTAAGCAAGCGTCCACATGTCGGTATCGTACGCATCGGACGTATCGCACGCAACGGATCGTAGTATTATTTATATGGAAAGTCATATAAGTGCGTCCACCTGTCCGCATCGTACGCATCGCACATACGATACGATGTGTTTCGTACGATGCGTCCGTTGCGTACGATACCGACAAGTGGACGCTTAGCTTTAGACAGATAAATTAAATGCAATACCCATCACGATAATTCTAATTCTTTATTAGTACGAGTACCTATGTGGGTCCTTTTCAGGGTGTTCTAAACCTTGCCCTTCCACCACCACAATACTAAAGAAGTATAGAATAGTAAACAAGGAAAAACAATGACTAATCTCATTACTCAATTCTGACTGTCATATAAAATTAATCGTGATTTGAATATGCTGACCAGATTCATTATTTTTGTGACCTCTTTTATGTGATCTATCACGTAAGAGATCCATGGACTATTCTACTTAACTTAACATTAAAACACTATAGTGCATTAAAAAGAAACAATCGGAATGTTTCCCCACCAGCGTATGCCTATCAAGTGACTGGAATAAAAGAGTCAAAAGCATTCCACAAATAACAGACAAATCCATTCCAGGGCAAAGACCTGTTTATGGACCTGGACGACGGCGCCCTGAAGCTGATCGACCCTGAGAGCCTGACCACGCTGCACACGCAGCCCATACACACCATCCGTGTTTGGGGAGTCGGCAGGGATAACGGACGGTGAGTTACAATAGGAAAACTGAGGAATTTGAGCAAACAGGGGTATAAAAGGTAACCTGAGAGCTTACATTAAACTTCGTCCGTCACTAGTGAGCGTGTCAAAAAAATCCATGAAGATTTTAGTTCTTGAAAGCCTCCGCAGGTCGCTATACAATCCGTCATACATTTAAATGTGATTTTTTCACGCAGTCACTAGTGTAGACCTTTGTAAACTCACACTACGCCCCCTGTACTATTGTGCAGTTTAAAATGGGTTAATTCTATATGGGTCTGACGCAGAATGTGCATTTCGCAAAATGAGCACTTCAAAAAATGCGAACTTTTCCATACAAATGTAAAGGCTGAAGAGTTAGTTTGTATAATATTAGTATGGAAAAGTGCGAATTTTGCGAAGTGCACATTCTGCGTCAGACCCTTCCATGTTTCTCCTTAAAAGATTCCTAATAATGGGGAAGTTTCATTATCTATTGCGTCAGAATGGACCACGGACAGTGACTTACATGCTAGGGAAACTTCAGGGGGCAATTTTCGTTGCCTTTTTCCCATGGATATCAAAAAGAGAAAGTGGAATAATCCATTTTAGTCACACAATGGAGTAGATTACCTTTTTTACCCTAGAAAAAGGACTCGAGGTTTCGTGAACGTCAGAATGGCGGGTGTATGGTNATAGTAGTTCCAAGTGCTCTCCTGTATAGGTCTACCAGAATCTCATGGCAAACAAAAATATTGGAAAAGTGTGGCTTTCATAAGGAAATTTCAAAAACAAATTACGAGATTTGTCAACCACTGCAGAAATTTTGTGAATCTTCATGATTATTTGTTATTTTAATGAAAATACAAAAAAAAAACTCAAGCGAGTTATATTGTTTTCAATGTGTATTGTAAAATATGGCGTAATTTAAACTCAATCTTTGATTTTAAAGCACGTCGTTGAGTTGACAGGTAAGTCGGACTGAAATGTTAAGATTACATTTAGTTTATTACCCGACTGCGTCAGAAAGAGGGTTATGTTTATTTTTAAGTATTTTTCTTTCTTAATAGCTGCTTTATTGAGGTTTACCTACAGGTGAATCTCACAAATTGTCGCAAAGGAATGGTCAAAATGTTGTAACCATGTAAAGAAACTTGATAAGATTTCATCAAGCAAAATCATTATTAATCATCAAGCAAGATTGAATAATAAAATTGAAATGCTGGAAGAGCAATTTATAATAAATACCTCTTTCTCTTGATTATCTGTTGAAGAATAAGAAATAATAAATAAATAATATCCTTGGACATTTTAGACTGCGCTTCTAGTCCCAAACTAAGCAAAGCTTGTACTATAGGTACTAGACAACGGATATAATCATATTAAATGCTTTTCTTTTTAAATCATACATATACATAGAAAACACCCAGTCCAATACAAACAAAATACAACGTGTCCCAAAATTCAAGGATAAGCCGGCGCCGCAGGGTGGACATAGTCATGACTAGTTTAGGAAAAATAAGAAAAAAAATCTATCTCAATTATTTTTTAAGTTACACAATAAATTATGAAATTCGTCGAAAATTGACACCCCTTATGATATTTTACATTACCACGACTACAATTTTTCAAATACTTCTGTTTTTTTGTTTATATCGGCAACTTAAGTAGTGCTGCTGTCCACCCTAATTCTTAAAACCCCCAGAATCCTTGCAGTTTTTACACAAAAGTTAATCAAAATATGATATTTCCTTAAAATTATGAACGATTTTTACGTTCACTGCACTTTGACTCGTCGTTTTGTAAAAAAACAGTATGAACACTACTGCGGCAAGTTTTTTATAAAGTTGACGCAACTATCCAAGATTCCAAAATGGTATAATACTCTAAGAAAACTTGTCGCAAAAAAGATATGCGTACCATTTTTACAAGCACTTCGCTTGTTACGAGATACGGCGAGATACGGCGAGATACAGCGAGATAATGAGTTCGGAGTTTTCGCGCACACACACTGATCACTGTTACTTCGGATGCGGTTACCGAGGATTTCTTTAAATCCCACCGCTGCCACCAAATGTTGTACGAGGTCTCGAGATTGGAGTTTTAAAAAACAGTTTGTTACGTATTTAAAGTTTATTCACTTTTTAAACATTAATTTTAAAGACAACCCGTTGCAGCAAGCTCTCAAACCGAACTAAACTTTACAGTGGGGTCTCTGGCGCTCCCATAGTTTAGAAACGCTGACTCGGCGCGACAGCGGCGGGTCAGCCTTATTCTATACAAAGACCGGGTATAACAGTTCGTTCGTTTCAGCCAAATGACGTCCACTGCTGGACAAAGGCCTCCTCCAATATGGATGTAATTGAAGGGAACGTTCCTGAGTGACGCTGATCGCTCGGCGCCGACGCTTCATACATTTCGGCTGTCAGCGCTGACGGTCAGCGTGCGTCAGCGTGACTCTAAAACCAGCCTTGCTGATTTGATATGTTGTACCCAAGATCTACCTTGTCCCTGTAAATAGCACATGTTTGTGTAAGATGAATTCAGTACTTAATATCCCGGTACTCAAGAGGAACATCTAGCGATACCAGCGTAAATGCGAATAGAAAATCGTGATGGAACGTGACATTCAAGATATTTCATTTTTTTCTGTCTGTAAGATTTTGTAAGTAATTTTTCACCAATAGGCTTCAGTATTCATTCTGAACAGCTGAAGGAGTGTCGGTATACCTAAAATGATTGAATACACGTGTGCTAATAAATAGACTTAGGTGACGTTTCATCCAAGGATGAATAAAATTGTCTCCTTTTCATATTGTTAGGTGTCCAAGCCAAAGGGGAAAGGGGCAGGTAATGGAATTAGTAAGTCCTCCTATGTTCTTCTGATTAATTTCGTTGCGGGTCCAATGACAGTTTAACTTTCCCCCGGGACAAACTTGACCTTCATTGGTTGGGTTTTTGTGGCGGTCAAGCTGTAGATCCTGGCTACACAGGAGTTGCAGTGGTGGGAATGAGAGGTGGGAATAGTCCCGTAATGGAATTAGTAAGAAATGTACGTGATTTCCTAATGTCAAAAAGGCAAGTAAGATTGCTAGATACCTTGCAAGCAGCCTCAATAGTCTTGCACAGCGCGCCGGAAGAGGGCTCGGCGTGGAAGGCGTGAGCGACAAAGAGATCCTGCGCGGTGTGCACGATGAACGCACAGCGCCGCACGTCGCGCCCGATGCCCAGGAACGACAAGTAGCGCACGCGGCACTCCACTAGTGGGCTGCTCTCCTGTGGACGTGATGGTGGGAAATTAGTCTTTGAAAACACATACGTCCTTACTGGCTTCAAAAGTGTTTTGAGGCTAATCACAGTTGGGGAAGATATAGGGAACCTATCGCTAGGTCAATGCATGGAATTGACCATGTAAAATCTGCAGCAGGAAACAGTCTTCGAATAGGGAGAGAATGTGAGGAGCTGCCGCCTCTACCACTGGCGTGGATATCTCGACGTGACCAAGACTGCCAAGAAATTTAAAATTACCAAGTGCAAAACGACACGAAGAAGGTAGCCGTAAGTACCTAATAGGTCCTCCTGACTAGGCGTTGTGGCGCCAGGCGGATGGCGCGCGCAGTGTTCAGGCGCTCGAGCGCGTCGCTGAGCTCTGCCAAGAGTGAATGGGGACAGCTTCTGATGCCTGATGCCAACCTATAAGTGTTCTCGTCACTCGGGGGTCCTTCTCATAGACTGTATCATAGCAACATCCACGGGACTTCAGGCGGACGGCGCGCGCTTGTCAGACTGGATCTCGAGCGCGTCGTTGAGCTCTTGATGCCTAAAGCGTCCGCTTCTTCTAATTTTCTCCAGGTCCAGCAGTCAGCACCGACTTGTACACTTGCAAGAATTCCTCAGTAATGGTGATCATAGACGGCGCCACGGCCACAGCCACAGGGCGCCAGGCAGACGGCGCGCACGCAGCGGCCAGGCGCTCGAGAGCGTCGTTGAGCACGTCCATGCCAGATGGAAGGAGCATCTGATGCCTACAGGGTCTACTCCTGAATTTCTCCAGGTCTAGTCTCCACTCCTCTTTTTCTTCCCCATGTCCGTACAGGGACACCTATAAGAGTGTTGTAAGATCACTTACCCCCTCCTCAGTGATGGTGATCATCGACGGCGCCACGGCCACAGCCACAGGGCGCTAGGCTGACGGCGCACGCGCGGCGGCCAGACGCTTGAGCGCTTGACTAGCTCTGATGCCTACAGCGTCCGCTCCTTCTGAATTTCTCCAGGTCTAGTCTCCACTCCTCTTCTTCTTCCCCATGTCCGTACAGGGAGACCTATATACCTATAAGAGTGTTGTAAGATCACTTACCCCCTCCTCAGTGATGGTGATCATAGACGGCGCTACGGCCACAGCCACAGGGCGCCAAGCGGACGGCGCGCGTGCGGCAGCCAGACGCTCGAGCGCGTCGTTTAGCACGTCCATGCCGGTCGCACGCGGCACCTCCGCGCTGCCCAGGTGTGTGCTATACACGTGTGAGAATATTCTCGTGTCACTCACCCCCTCAGTAACGGTGATCACAGAAGACGCCCCAGCAACAGTGACAGGTTGTCAGGCGGACGGCGCGCGTGCAGCATCTAGGTACTTGAGCGCGTCCATGCTAAATAGAAGGAGCATCTGATGCCTACAGCCTCTACTCCTCCTGAATTTCTTCAAGTCTAGGAGTCAGCACCGAACTATGAGAGTTCACTCACCCCCTCCTCAGTGATGGTGATCATAGAAGGCGCCACAGCAACAGCTACAGGGCGCCATGCAGACGACGCGCGCTTGTCAGCCAGGCTCTCGAGCACGTCGATGAGCACTGATGCTTACAGCGTTTCCTTCTTCTAAATTTCTCCAGGTCCAGCAATCAGCATCAATCTATACATGTGTGAAAGTATTCTCTTGTCACTCACCCCCTCCTCAGTAATGATGATCATAGACGGCGCCACGGCCACAGCTACAGTGCGCCAGGCGGACGGCGCCCAGGCGCTCGAGCGCGTTGACTAGCTCTGTTGCCTACAGCGTCCGCTTTTTCAGAATTTCTCCAGGTTCAGCAGTCAGCACTGACTTGTACACTTGCAAGAATTTTCCCACTCACCCCCTCCTCAGTAATGGTAATCATAGAAGGCGCCACGGCCACAGCCACAGGGCGCCAAGCTGACGGCGCGCGTGCTGCGGCCAAGCGCTCGAGCGCGTCATTTAGCACGTCCATGCCGGTCGCACGCGGCACCTCCGCGCTGCCTAAGTAACGCGCGCGCACTGTCTTGCGTGGTTCTTCCATTGGTGTGGGGAATGACGCGCCTGGAAAAACAGGTAGGATTATAATGGATAAGCAAAAAAGACATTAGCTTTGTAGTTCCGACAGAGTAGAATATGACCACCCCTACTCTTTACGTGGATGTAGCCAGAGGCAGGAGGAATAAACAAACGTCAGGCCCCCCCATCCGCTCAGCGTGCTGAAGAATCGGCCAAATCGAATCGGCGTAGTGTGCGCACTCCCATACATGGCCATACTGATCAACTGCCCGACTAAACTATCGGCCGACGAAAAATCAACGGTGTGCGCCTACTCTTATAGTCTGGTCCGCGAGCACGTAGAATCTTGTCCAATGACCTCAAGCTACCCACCCTTATCGCTCGCGCGTAACTATGTTGCTGTCGCGTTCGCACACTCACTGCGGGGGCCCGTCACACAGTGGCGACAGCAATATAATTACGCGCGAGCGATAAGGATGGGTAGCTTGGGGTCATTGGACAAAATTCTACGTGCTCACAGGCCGGGCTTTAGATAGTTAGGATAAACTCTTCTTACCTGCCAAGGACCTGGGGCGCCTCGCAACAGGCAAGTTAGTGGGCCTTCATCTTCTAAGCCGGTTCCTGGCAGGAGTTGGATGCAAAAGCCGTGACAGGGTAAAAAAACCTAATAAGACAAGCCTATGTTCTATGTCCGGTTGTGGACTGCTGCAAAATGTATGGCGGATGACGATTTTAGACGATTTTACCTGCTAAAGGCATGGGGCGCCTCGCTGCCGGCAAATCCGTTGGCCTGGGCGGAGGCTGCAGCGAGCGCTCGATCATGATCCGCTTGCATATGTCCCGGAGCGCGTTGGCGATGACAGACAGTTACGGTAAACTCTCCTACGCGCTAAAGGTCTAGGGCGCCTTGCTGCAGGCAAATCGGTAAGCCTTCATGTTTCAAGCTGGTCACTGGCAGGAGCTGGATACGACTTGCCGAAGACAGGGTAAAAAGGCCTATCGTGTATGGGAAGCCTATGTTCTATGGATTTTAGTATTACCTGCCAAGAGCCTGGGGCGCCTCGCAGCAGGCAAATCCGTGGGCCTAGGCGGAGGCTGCAGCGAACGCTCGATCATGATCCGCTTGCATATGTCCCGGAGCGCGTTGGCGATGCTACGCGCGGGCTCAAATAGTTCATATCTAGAGACAGTTAAGATAGACTCCTACTATACCTGCTAAACGCCTGGGGTCGCCTCGCAACAGGCAAGTCAGTGGGCCTTCATCTTCCAAGCCCGTTCCTGGCAGGAGTTGGATGCAAGAGCCGTGACAGAGTAAAAAAACCTAATAAGACAAGCCTATGTTCTATGTCTGACGGACTGCTGCAAAATTTATGGAGGATGTGGATTTTAGACGATTTTACCTGCTAAAGGCCTAGGGCGCCTCGCTGCAGGCAAATCCGTGGGCCTTGGTGGCGGCTGCAGTGAGCACTCGATCATGATCCGCTTGCATATACCTAATATCTCGCAGCTTGTTGGCGACACTACACGTGGGCTCAAATAATTCAGATCTAGAGTCTAGACAGTTAAGATAGACTCCTACTTTACCTGCTAAAGGCCTGGGGCGCCTCGCAACAGGTAAGTCAGTGGGCCTTCATCTTCCAAGCTGCTTCCTGGCAGGAGTTGGATGCAAGAGCCGTAAAAGGGGAAAAAACCTAATAAGACGTATGGCGGATGATGATTTTAGACGATTTTACCTGCTAAAGGCCTAGGGCGCCTCGCTGCCGGCAAATCCGTGGGCCTGGGTGGAGGCTGCAGCGAACGCTCGATCATGATCCGCTTGCATATGTCCCGGAGCGCGTTGGCAATGCTACGCGCAGGCGCCTCGCAACGAAACACGTGACACATGTGCTTGCGCGTCGCGCGGTCGCGGGCCACGTACGCGAAGTCCCTGCGGATAAGGGACTGGGTCAAGTCCTGGCTAAGGCTGGAAGTCTAGATCAGAAAGGACTGAATGGAGGAAGGCTGTGGATAGTGGATACCTTTCTTTTGAAACCAACCAGATTTCTGTCTAATTAATTATTTTATAAGAATCAAAATGCGCCAAAAAGTTTCGTGTCATGATAGACGTTAAAAACAGTCCCTATGGAATGTGGACGAGAGGTTGGATCAAATCTAGGGCGAAAAAAACAGTCCCTATGGAATGCATACGAGAGGTTGGATCAACTCTTGGGCGAAGGCTGGTCATTCAAACAATTCATTACGGATTTTTTTTCCAGAATGGAACACCTCTTGGCTTCAGTCCGAAAGTGGAAGGAACTGAACATGGAAAAAGGGAAGCACTGAAACTTAAAGTTGGTTAACAAGAATTAACAATATGGGTTAAGAAGAAAGATAATTTAAGAAGTTAACGATTTGACTAAATGATAATCATTCGGTAATGATGAAACAAATTCAATGATTCAAATGACTCGTGCTGGAATGCCGAAGAAAGGAGGTGTTAAGATGAATTTGACCTTTCATCATGTGATTCTATCAAAACTAATGGAATGTTCACTCACACAACAGAAAATTTGTAAAATGCCAAAGCGTGATTTACAGCAAAGCGGTATTTAAAATTTAAATTTAAAGCTTTTTTTGTAACGCAAAAAAATTTAGACGTCAGTTTATGACGTCAATAAAAAATAAATTCGCAATGGCATTTTAATACATAATCTAAAATGATCAAATTATAGACAAATGCGTCGGTGTAAATGATCAAGCTGTTTTTATTTCACTCTAAAACTAAATTACTGTGAATGAGAAGCATTTTTAATTAGTTTTCTATTTTTTTCGCTGTGTCTATAATTTCTCCATACCTTTCACTGTTCCGAGATCGCACATAGAAGGGAAAGAAAAGCAATTCTTTAGTTAGTAGTATCTTTGTAACAACTTTGATGGATTAGTACATAAATTAAGTATGGTTTGTGTCTTACTACTACGCAAAGAGAAAAACAAAGTTATAGGGAAAATTAATAATAAACCATTACCAACAGTAGATATAGGCCTTAGACTAACAACTAACCTTTTTGTAATTTAATCAAATAGAAGTTCAGTCTTACACATTTTTCTTGTAAAAGAAGTTGTTAATGAAGATGGAATAGGTGCTATTTCATCTTCATAAGATACATGCTAGTGTTGACGATGACGGCACATAGTCATACGTAGATCCGTACATTGTTGTCTCCAGCATCGAAGTCTCGAGTCCTTTTTGAAGGGTAAAAAAGGTAATCTACTCCATTGTGTCCCATATCCATGGGAAAAAGGCAACGAAAATTGCCCCTGAAGTTTCCCTATGTAACTCCCTTAGTCCCTTCTGACGCAATAGAAAACGAAACTTCTCCATTATTAGGGATCTTTTAAGGAGGAAAATGGAATAACCCATTTTGAACTGCACAATACACTTAGTACTAAACTCAAAAACTCAATATGTACATTAATTTCTTTTAAAACTATTAAGATCGTCGTTCTGTCTGACACCACATTGTATAACTGCCTAAATTGTAAGACCTAATGTGAAATGCTAATGTGGTTATACAATAAACGATTGAGTATTGAGTACAGGTTACCTTTTATACCCCTGAATTTTCTCCGATTTTTCAAGGTTTCCCTATTGTAACTCACCGTCCGTTATCCCTGCCGACTCCCCACACACGAATGGTGTGTATGGGTTGCGTGTGCAGCGTGGTCAGGCTTTCAGGGTCGATCAGCTTCAAGGCGCCGTCGTCCAGGTCCATGAACAGGTCTTTGCCCTGGAATGGATTTGTCTGTTATTTGTGGAATACCTTTGAACTTATATTCCAGTCATTTGGCAGGCATATGCTGGTGGGGAAACATTCCGATTGTTTCTTTTTAATGCACTATAGTGTTTTAATGTTAAGTAGAATTAAGTCCATTGATCTCTTACGTGATAGATCACATAAAAGAGGTCACAAAAATAATGACTGGATCTGATCAGCATATTATTCAAATCACGATTACTTAATTTTATATGACAGTCAGAATTAAGAAATGGAATTAGTCATTCATTGCCCCATCAGGCTCTCAAGTGAGGTGATGATTGTCTGAGTATTACTTGTGTCTATTATTTTATATTATGATAGTGATAGAGAAAGGTCTAGAACGCCCTCGTATTGCGTTTGATTTCTCTGTCTTCTAAGGCTAACTTTCTCTCTGTTACTTAAAGCTACTCGTATATGGATAGGACTTACATCTCCCCAACGGCCGACTTGATCAAGCAGGTCGTTGCGACCCAGACTGAGGTCCACGATGCACTTGTTGACGGCGCGGCTGGACCGCTCCGGCGTGAGATCAGACTCGGATATCTCCACCCAGCCCAGCGACCGGACGAAGAACCGGACGGCGCGCCCGTTGTCCGGCTCCGGACGGGCTGGGAAACTGCGGCGTCTGGAGAGAGTTGAATGTTACGTGTTAACTGTTATGTGTTACCCATAGGGGTCACTTAAAAATTAGGGATTGATGGTGAAAATGGGCATAAGTGCCACGTTTTGCGTATATTTTTGTCACATTTCTAGCGGGTTTCAAGCTAGATGTTTTAGGAAAGTAAGGGATGTTTCCAATGACACTAAAATTATATCCTGGAAACTTTCAGGCCAGGTCTAACCATAAAAACAATTTGCAAATCAGTCCTTGTCCTTGTACTAGAGCTTTTACAGATTCATCCGTGATCATGGAAGCAGAAACCTTACCAAAACAGTCAATAGTACTGCCTACTCACAGTGGCCTTTACATCATCATCCTAACACGTCACTGTTTATTAAGTGTCATCGTTTCAATATGGTTGAAATAATGGGGATGCCATTTATTTTATAAACAACTAGGTAGGTAAGTAAGTACATATTCTGGTACATCACCTAACGTCACACAGTAGAACAAAACAGATAGGTACTTAATAACCCGTTTACTCACTTGTAAGACATCTCCTCTTTCCTCTTCCTTTCAGCCTCCTGAGCGTCATGGTCCAGCGCCCCACTAGTAGTACTCCTGGTGACGGAACCCGTCATGACTCCTTCATACTTGTTCACTTCAGACAAGTTGGAGCAGTCGCGCACCATGGAGATCCGGGACTCCCGGGCCTCGACCGGCGGCATTTTGGGGATCTCCCGCTGGATTGTCCCGCTCTTTATGTGCCAGTAGTAGGGACCGTCGTTGTCTGGAAGAATTAGGATTTGTCAATGCATTTTGGATGTCAACAATGTTATTTTAAAATTTTGAAAAACCTTAGCTTACCACAAAATTGTATGTAATCTTATTTTTTCTTTAATTAAATCTATGTTTAGATCAGGCTAGTAGAGCCTACCTAGAGGTAATCCGCGTTAATATCATCAAAAATGCAAAACAATTATTAAAATACCATTTCAATTCTTCCAACTGGTGGTCTCAGGTACATCAGTTTATTGAACAGGCTTATTGACATCTATACCTACCCATCAATCAGAGGTGAAAACACGATGACTGTGTACCTAAAATACCCATTACGATCTACTGAATCATTGCATTCAGCATTCCATCGACGAGAATCTCAAAGCGAGCTCGCAGCAGACTCGCGTCATGATGCAGTATCAGTGCATTTTATAGAGCCAAAAGTGTTGCCAAAATGATACCTCCAGATTTGTTCTTGCCATGTAAATAGCTACTTCTATAGTCTGGTCGCCGAGCACGTAGAATTTTGTCCAATGACCCCAAGCTACCCATCCTTATCGTAATTATGTTGCTGTTGCGCTCGCACACTCACTGACTAAATTCTACGTGCTTTAATAAAAGTCTAAACGGCTTACCCTCATGTTTCTCCCACCCCGGGGGCAGCTGGGGCTCCTTCTTGGGGCGCAGCTTGACGGGGATCGCGTAGAGGTCGTCATTGGGCCCCGCGCAGTGAGGAACGGGCCCCGCGTGGCTCTTCTCTGTGTCCTCTTGATCCGCCCGCTCCTTCTCAGGAGGGGGGGATTCTTCGCCGCCATTCTGTTGGGGCGTGATGAACCCGGTTTTCTCACTGTTGACAAATGACAATAGCTTATATTACATAAATGGTGATTTGTGTTTAGTATTTGAAACGAAGTGACCCATAATATTTGACTAGTTAGCTACAAAAATATTTAAGAAGCAAATTTCCTTCTCCGGCACAGAAGCCTTTTGGAGATTTCATTTGGGGACGGCCTTATTTATTTTTATTTTTTACTTTGTGTTTAGGCGATTATCACACTGCGCCGCGCTCCGCCGCGGTACGCGGGACGACAGATTTAATCATTGTATGCAAGTACCTCAGTTTGTATAGAAAACACGCGCGGCACAACACACTGACAACGCGTCCGCGCGCGGGATTTTTTTATATGAAATCACGCGGACCGCAGCGGAGCGCGGCGCAGTGTGATAACCGCCTTAGTATTTGAAACGAAGTGACCCATCATAATAGCTAACTAGTTAGCTAGAAAAATAATTAAGAAGCAGATTTTCTTTTCCTTCTGTGCCTTTTGGAGATTTCATTTAGATCATAGGACAACCCTATCCTCGTTCGAAGGCGCCAAAGCAGTCTGTGTTGATTACACATAATAATAGAGTTGCGTCATTTGATCATAATTTTGTGGTTTTAGCCTTAGGCATAATTAATCTGGTATATCAAACCGTAATATGATATTTCTGGCACTCCCCTTTTATTGACTGAATCGTTAAGAGCCATTTCACAAAAATATTCCGCGCGAATTTAGGTAAAAGCTGTCAACGCAACGTCAAAAGAGTAAAAAGAACGCTGAAATGGACAAAAAAATCTTGAGCCGTGACCGTATTAAGACTTGATTTAAGTTATTAATTTTAAGGTAGAATGAGGAATTCAAACTTGATTAATTAATTTAAATTTTTAATAGAGTTTATTAAGTCTTTTATATTTCGATTCATAATGAAACACGAATAGGTATAATATGTAAAATATATATTAAGTACAAAATAAAATACTTTTATTGCAGTTTATGCTGTGTTTTTAAACCAAAAACCACGATCAAAATGTGACGTTAATCTTCAAATTTGCCAAATTATTTTTAGATTTTACTCAATAATGGTAATGAAATTCAAGAATCTATTTCATTAATGGACTACAAGAATATATGTCCGATGATTACTATATATTTTTAAGCTTATTATATGAGCATAAATAATAGATACAGGACTTTGAAAATGAGTCTGCGGCAATTTTTTCGTAAAATGGTTGTGGGAGATGGGGCACTGTGAATTAAGCAAAAGAGTTTTAGTAAATCCGTTTCATTAATGGTCAACAACAAGGATTGACCTATCTTTCGCAGTTATTAAATAATCTCTGGGTGTTGCTTAAGATAGTAATTCATGCTTCCAAAATCTTAGAAATTCGCACGAAAATGTAAAATGGCTCTTAAATGAATCACTTTTGGCCTTGCAACTCGTCGATCTTTATTTTGATCCTTCTCGAAAGTATCATGAAGATTATTTGCAACCTTTTTTATTACCTGCGGTTAGGCATACTTACCTGTCTGCTTTATTTACACATTAGCTTTCCGCCCGCGGCTTCGCCCGCGTGAAATTTTGTCTGTCACAGAAAAACTTTATCGCACACGTCTCTGTTTCAAAAACTAGGATAACAACTATCCTAAGTCCTTTCCCGGGACTATCTCTATGCCAAATACCATAAAAATCGGTGCAATGGTTTAGGCATGAAAACCACACAGACAGAGTTACTTTCTCATTTATAATATTAGTAGGGATATGCGACTAATATTAGAGAGCTGGGTAAGGTTGAAAAACAGCGCAGCCCCGAGCTTGCTCTCGAGGCAGCTTGAGCTGAACTGCATGGCCCTTTGTTTCCTGTATTTAAATTTTGGTTGTGGGAAACAATAAAATATTTTTATGTATTTATTTATAATATGACTGCCTTATACCACATGTTATTAATTTAGCAAATTAATCCTATTTCTGTGTCGCGTGCCAAGATCCCCTGCACTGTGGTAGCGTGACTGCCGATCGGGTCGTAATGCACCCGTCCCATTAATGCCAAGGACTTGGCGGTGACCTTTGTAAACCATGAGTAATAGTCGGAAATGCTAGACTATGATGTGGAATAGTGAAATACACCGTGTTACTTTGCATTCTTGCCATATTCACAGATATAAAAGTAGGGAACAATACCTATTATTTAAGATAAACAAGAGACTCCCATAAAGAAAGTACACTAAGATTTTAGTAAATTTGGTTTTTCAGTACAAATTGGAATAAACCAATTTTGTCTCGCACATTCTACAGGTGCAAGTGGAATAAACCTAGTGGGCGTGGCCTAGTTCTTAATAATCTGTCGATTTATGGCTCTGGGTACCAGCCTTTTTATCCAGTCATAATAATTATTTTAAAATACTCTTCAGTTGATTTCAGATTTCCCTTTCTACTTTACGGGCTTAGGACCGTCAAAAATACGTAATAATTATTAGGGTTTTAATTAATTTATAACATTGTACCCTATTTTTACAAATTAATAAATTAAGTATGAAATGAAATCACCTTATTCACAATTAATTATTTATTAAAAAGTTCCTACTTACAAAGTTTACATACTGCGAAGCAAGTGTTCAAAGTGGCCTTCGTTCTGATCATCTGATCAAGGCACAGTCTAGCACTGCGAAGCGTAGGTTTTTCGCTTTAGTTTTCGCAACACATAAACGTTTTGTCTCATAGTTTCACTAAAACAATCCTTTCGTGTAACGCGTTTAACACTGTTTATCTCTTCTGCGCATACCAGTCGTTTCAAGTCACTCCAAAAATCCATTGGTGTCAGGTCCGAGGATCGTGGTGGCCAAGCTACTGGACCCCTCGTCCAATCCACTGTTCACCAAACGTATTATTCGCACACTTGACGTCCATAATGTGGGGGAGCACCATCCTGCTGGTAGTAGAGCATTTGGTGTAACGCTAAGGGTACGTCATCAAGCATTTCGTCTAAGACGTCTTGCAGACACTCCAAGCACCATTTTGATTAAATTATTCGTTGTTTGAATACGCTTCAGACATTTTTGTATTATTTATAACGTGATTTGTGATTGATGGATTTCTCAGTTTTTTACAAGTGTCAAAAAGACATTTTAAAGACAATAGATTGCAATAGATATTTAAAAATACAATAAAAAGTAAAAAAGTCTCCATCGCCATCGCCAACAAGTGATGTGCATGCGTTACGATAATTAGTGGTGTGTTTAACAGATTGTCGATAAAATAAAATAATCAAGATTAAAAAAAAAATTTTTCGGGCAATATTTTTTTACGGATTTGTGTTCAGTATCAGTAATATCGTAACCTCTGTAAATATGGCAAGAATGCAAAGTAACACCCTGTATAATTAATTAGACATGAGTATTAAGATGGTAAAACTATGGTACGACCACCTTCCCTAAGATTACTAAATAAATGAGATGCCGTTTTAAAATCCCTATTATCCGTATTTTGGTAGGTAAGCTACTTGCTTGCTTATCTAGAAATATAATACAATACCTATTTGTCTATAATACCTATGCTTTTGTTAGAAGTGAATTAAGTACCTAGTCGTAGTAAGGACAATCTGTTCAAGTGGGGATTCTTGGATGGCTAAAACTTGGGAGTGCAAGTGTGGTTGTGTTCCCCAGTCGACGAAGCATTTATGATGTCGTGCCCTGCGTGCCCGAACAACTGCACGCACGAATGAAGGCTACTGAAAACGTCACTCTTGTGGCGGAGTTTTGGGCTGACACTGTGTAGGTTTTTGTTGTCCACACGACAAGAAGAAGAAGTAGTAGATTGACCACCATACGAACTATTAAAATTTGACGTTGACTGTATACAAGTCATCAATCGAATACTATGATTCATAATGTTAGCTCAAAATTGAGAGCAACGATGTGGTTTTGTCATTCATTCAAATAAAGTTCAAAACAGTCTCGTCAAAAAACAATTAGCAATTTTATAGTTAAAAGTGTATCTCATTAGATGACTCAGACCGTGACAAATTGGTAACTTTATGTATCAAGGCGCATCACAACGATGTGAATAAAGTACATAAAGATGTACCTACCTATTGAAGATAGAGATCTCATAGTAAAAAATCAGATTAAATTGTGAATCGAGCCATTCGCAATGTTGAGTTAGTATGTTTTCCGTCACAATGTAGGTACAAAGAAACATTGATAGAGTTAAAATTATACTGAGAATAATAACTTTTTAAAGGCCTAATTGCAATCGTAGGCAATTTATCACCTTTAAACCATCCACATTTTGATATTCTAGGGAACAATTACTCAATTCCCTGTTTATTTTATATTAGCCTTCCGCCCGCGGCTTCGCCCGCGTGGATTTTTTTCTGTCACAGAAAAACTTAACTTATCGCGCGCGTCCCTGTTTAAAAAACCGGGATAAAAACTATCCTATGTCCTTTCCCGGGACTCAAACTATCTCTATGCCAAATTTCATCAAAATCGGTTCAGTTGTTTAGGCGTGAAAGCGAGACAGACAGACAGAGTTACTTTCGCATTTATAATATTAGCATAGATAAATTATCCGTCTAGTTGTTTAACCTGTAAATTCCAGTAACCATTGTTGCAAATAACCTAAAACTAATACAAATAACCATTAGTATCCGACTTAAATTAACGACGAACGGAGCAATGGAACCCTAAACACAAATACGAGATAAAAAGATTAAACCAAACAAAAACTAAACCTACCTCCATTTAATAACAATTCAGTGCGTTAATAATATTCTTAGAATGCTCAAGAACCTGAATATCAGTCAAAACAACATTATTAACTTGATTCTACATAACACAGGTGTTTTTTGTGGATAATAAAATCGCAAACAAAGGCTATACAGACAATGCGTCAGAGTCTATGAATCACACAATGTCATGTATTGAGCTAACGTACAATACATAACGTTTGCTTGTAAATAGACGTATAATAGATTAATCATGTCTTTGTTTGGGGAATCATATCATCGCTCAGTAATAATCCATAACTAATATTACAAAAGCTCAAGACCGAACGCGATGGAGGACTGTTGTGGACGCCCTCTGCCCCATCTAGGGGACATAGGACGTTATTATTAAGTAAATATTACAAAAGCGAAAGTTGCTCTGTTTACAGATATGTCGCTCTATCGTCGAAGAAGTCGAATTCCGCAAGTATAAGTATCCTAACGATCTCTTTTCAAAAGAACATCCTAATTACTATTTTCAAAGATAGTAAATTACAGCAATCACCCTAATTTTCTGTTATGGCGTATGAGATTGGGTATGTAGAGCCTAGATCAAAACGTTCCATATCCAAGTCCCGAAACTTCCGTAAAATGCAGGTTCTTTCAAAATAACTTCCACTCCCAATATTTTTTTCTTAATAATACGGAATACTTCTCAAAGCATACGCTTTATACGCGCATAAGTAGGTATACATTTATGTTACCCAAGATGACACTTCCACAAGATTTGATGGTCATACTCGTAGCAGTAAGCAGACTGATGACTCACTTCACCATTATTGTTTATTCAAACCTTTTACCATACCAGACATATTAGGCACCAACAATACACTACACTACACGACATACATGTCATAACATCACCAAGAAAATATAAAAACCATTTAGCTAGCACATTCTCAACCACACAGAATCGGGACTATTCCCGCCTCTCGTTCCCACCACTGCAACTCCTGTGTAGCCAGGATCTACAGCTTGACCGCCTGAAAAACCCAACCAATGAAGGTCAAGTTTGTCCCGGGGGAAAGTTAAACTGTCATTGGACCCGCAACGAAATTAATCAGAAGAACATAGGAGGAGTTCGAAATTAAGGTTCGACTTCAACCACACAGAACCAAAAAACACTAACCGGCACCAAATTCTTTCCCTCCGGCGCCGCATCACTCTATTTTCAACTCTATCCCGTTCCAATAAGCTCCACAAGACACACACGTTCACCTCGACTACTACAATCGGAGTGAGAATGACAGTAGTAAGACCAATTAACTGCAAATTACGTTAGTTAATCATCGCGACCGGATTTCGCGACAAAAACCAGACAATTAAGCGTTTTGTAATAACGATAAGCACGGCTGTGTAAATATTATGAGCATTAAGGTTATGCTATGGCCACATTTACCACTTTATCAGAGTTCAGTTTGTAAGTTTTTTTGTTGCCAAATGTTAGTCTCAAAGCGCTGGCAGGGCCAAAAAAATGAGACAGGCTCCGTAAGAGCAAAACGATTTGACGATTTGTATTTTAAAAATTGTTTGACCAGCAGAAAGCTACAGTACTTCGAAGGACAATAACTTACATGCTTAATAAATAAAAAGTTTTTGAAAATCCACGCGGGCGCGGAACTGCAGGCAATAGCTAGTTAAATATAAAACAATTCTATGTATAGGGGTAGAGAAAGCTTAGTTCATAGTTGGCCTCATTTCTTATCTAAACAACGTATACCTACTTGTTTCTACATAATGAAAGTTAAATGAAAGTAAACTACGCGATATGATATCATTTCCACCTGCATGTGAAATAAATGTTATTCTCGAAAAATTAAAAGAATTCATGTTTAATTTAAGTACCTGCTTTCATACCTCGACGAAATCAATTTTATTGTAACTGAACTGAACTTATCAATCCTTTTGTTTATTTTTATAACCTTTAAAAGTTGTGTAGCGTTTTTATCTACACACATAAAATATTGTGCAAAGTAATTAACTGAATACTCACTTTGTTTTTGTCACTGGCGATGTGGGTTCATCTTCAACTCTGTAACAAAGAAAAATATTTTTTACAAAAAATGACACGTGTATGTGCCTCACCTATAAAAGTTTATTATTATGTTTAAATTACATCCCTTGCAATAATTTCATTAATGAACTTAATTTCAAGAGATTTTAACTAAAACAATAACGTCATGATTCGTTTGACGAAAAACATAAGACAATCGAGTACTTTTTTAAATTTTTACTCTTTTAAACTTATGAGTGGCCAGTACATACGAAGGAGTTTATAAATATTTGTATCTTTCATTGCAATGACAGTTATTTCTTGCTATGAAAAAGAGGTTTGAAACTTTTCCAGACAGGCTAGAGTTTTGATTAGTTTACTCGTATAATACTTGTGTGTTTAAAAAAATCCAGACTATATCAAATTGGACTGAAACTGAGGTTGAGAGCTCTCTGCACCCACTGATAGAAGCTTTTTTCTAAAGTTAGGCTTACAAAGCCAGCGGTGACCTTCCTAAAGTTACATAAATACACATAACAACAAGAACTTCAATCTACGAGCACTTCTGGGAATAACAGCTGAAAAATGCCGATTTGGTACCAAACAAATAAGAACTTTTTGTTTCTGAAATATGGCTATGAAATATCCTCAGACCGGAGACCGGAGGAGTTTTGTTATAAACATTGTGACACCCCAATTTTCTTATTATAGAAGCATAGCGCTCTCCATATCACAATGAGTGTGTGTGCTTTCAGTTCCATATGTCATCACTCTCAAATGATACTATAGTGAGTGACTACTTTTTACAGAATACAGTACAAGGATAACTCCTTGCTACATTTTTAGCATCGAAAGAGCTACAAATACTACGAAAGAATAACTAGCTACGTAATTCCGCTGTCTTCTAAGCAGTTTGAGCCACACGCTTTGAACGTCTTGCTTGCTAGCAAATGTAAAATGTCAGAACAATAGGTTCTTTTACAGCATTTTCCAGCGAATTTTCTGCAGAATCTCTTTGTTTTTGAAATGGCACTTGGAAAACGGAAAGCAGGTCTCGGTACTTTTGTTTTCATTCTTGGTTTGTTTAAGGCAACGCGAATCTAATAATTCTAGAAAGGTTTCTGTGGAAAATTGTTTAAGTCTTTCTCAGAGGCGTTATGTTGTGATTGTATTTCCCTGGATTTTCTCTCATAACGAAAGTTATATTTTTCAAGGATATGTGAGTGGGTTCTTTTGGTTAGGGTAAGGCCTTACTTAGGGCAAGTCTCTGA